GTTGTTAAGGCAGGAATCACGACCTCCGCTGAAGATGAGCTAAGGGCCAATGCCTCGGGGACGAGGTTGGCTGAGAAGGAAGCAACCTTAAGAGCAAGAGGGGGAACATTGTTGAGATCAGAGTCGGTCGCCTTGTCCTCAGCAGGGGATCGAAATTGAAATCCAGTTCAGGGTAGATCTCTTCAGCCCTGTCCTGAAAAGCAAGCTACCCAGAGGCCCACTGAGTTGTGACATCATCAGCCAGTTTGCAATTAAGCAATCTTTTTTCTTGACAGCTGCCCTCGTCACCTCGAGTTCATTTCGGAGGACGTCACTCGTCTCCGTAATAATGTCATATTCTCTCTTCATAGTTTGGAAGGAACTTGAAGCTTCGAGAGACTCCCGACTGGCTCTGAGCCAATCATCTGTTTTCTACTTAAGTTCCCTTGAGCTCTTCTTTTGTTTTCTTAAGTTCCTATTTGCAGCTCTTTCCCTCACGTGCAATCTTCTCCCTCACCTCTTCCAAACTCCTATTTAAGGAGGTCTGCTTCTCCACCTGCTCCTGCAAGTCTTACACCTGGGCCTTGAGGTCACTATTCTCAAAGGACAGCTCGGCAATCTTGAGTTCAAAAGCCTTGGAAGCTTTAACTGAACCTTCCATGGCTTGGATCCTCTTCAGCAGTCCGCTGACATGGAGGGCAATCTGAAAGTGAGAAAAGGTCAGATAAGAAGGAGCAAAATGAACAAAACATGTATGCACAAAAAACATAAAACTTACGGAGGTAGAAACGAAAAGAGCGGTAGATATAGAGCTCCCAAGAGGCATGGTGGAAGCTCGCTGGATATCAGATTCGGGGAGAATGGAAGCAATGGCCTCTGCAGCTCTTTTCACGTTATCAATCAAAGAACCCGAACTTGCTTCTGCATTTCCCCCTTTTTCATGCTTACGTATCCCAAGAGCCTTTTTAGGAGGCCCTACAGCTGGGCAAGAAGGGATGGCTCCAGGCAAGAGGGGAGAGATCGTCTCTAAAGGTTTCTCGACCTCACCTGTAGAGGGAAGGGTGGAGACCAAGCTTAGGTCAGGGACCTTACCAGAGGAGGGCAATCCCGTCTTCTGAAGAAAGGAGCTCCTTGCAACCTCCGAAAAGTCAAAAGTGGATTGGAGCCCCATTTGAGTTACAGAGGACAATTCCAGTCTCGGAGCTTTGACTTTGACAGTTGGATCACCCCCTGTGCTGACCTTAACCTTACGTTTGCTTCCAGCTTGAGTCCTCTTCATCATAGATAATTTATTAGAGCGATCATTCGTAGTTGGCTCCATTAAGGAAGAACCTGAATAATCGAGAAAGAACCGTTAAAAAAAAAAGAGAGAAAAAAAGAGGAGAAGGAGAAGAGGTAAAAGGTAGAGGCAGAGGTGAAAGGGACAATACTTGCCAATTCCTCAGCACTAATGGCAGAAAGAGGGGACGAATTTTCTACCCTCACTTCAGGAGGACTAAACCCAAGGCTCACAAGGACTTGAGGTCGGATTAGCTCTGAATACTTCTCCGATTTGCAGTTTGCCAAGTTTCTTAGGACCTGTTCGTCTGCGGCATTAAGGTCTGGCCAGATGCCTGAGAAACGAAACCAGCCAACAAGGTCAGCCTAAGGGAAGCTAGAACTTATTCCAACTTGCATAAAAAGAAGCTCACCCAAGTTGTCAGGGGCAGACCACCCCCAAGGGATGGGAAGAGTGTCCGTCACGTCTGCAGGATTGAACTCCTATTCCTTCCCCCACACGAAAAAGAATATTTTTTTCCAGCGCTTGTGGGAGCTTGGGAGATCGGAGATAAGAACCTTGGTTTTCACTCGTTTGGACATGTACAAAAAGCCATCAGTGGAGAGATATTTGACATTAAAGAATTTATGAGCAAAGACATGGTGGGGACACCCAGATCATATTTTTTAAAGAAGACAAGAAGACCAACCAGCACCCCCCCAAAAGTTAGGAGAAAACTGGACAGGACAGACATTGAAATGTTACAAAACATTTTTTATGAAAGGATGCAGAGGAAAGCGGAGGCTGTTCTCAAAAGCAGCCAGGAAGAAGCATACCTTTTTAGGGATAGAGGAATCGTATAAGGTAAACATGTCCGGACTCCAAACTGGACGCTTTGAGGAAACCAAAGCGGGCAGCCAGCACCTTCATGTAAGAAGGAACGATGTCACTACACCCCACGAGCTCAGAGGCCCTGGGGGCAGCAACACCACCCATAGCACTGCCTGAAATTCCCACACCACTTACTTTGGTTTTGCCTTTGCTGGGAGATTTCAGGGCAGGAGGAGGCTCCTCAGTGCCTCCCTCAACATTGACAGAGTCCACTCCGGGAAAATCATCTATCTCTAACCCCACATCCCCCAGGTCGGAATCTTTCTCAACAAACCCATCTTTCATTAGCGAAACAGACAATCCCGTAGCTTCAGAGGAAACAGATATAGCTGGACAAGAATAAGGAAGCTTAAAAGACCTATAAAGAGGGGGGACCTCGGAGAAACACTCTTTGAGAGCCCAAGGAGCAAGACACCGAAAACTAATGGTGAAAATCCTAACTGTGGAGTAAGGGTCCAAGAAGAGTGGAAGACGAGACAGGGGAATACTTCGGCTCCTAGCGTAGCATAATTGAAAGGCCCAAAAATGCCAAAACCACCTCAGACTTGAGGGATCCAAGGCAAGGAGTTGGGAAAGAAAGAAAAAACGTACCTAACTACGAATTGGTGACGGATTAAAGTTTGAGGAGGGGATTCAAAACCAAATCACGCTAAGCCTCCAAGTCAAAACTGGGGTAACCGTCCCTCAGAGAAAATCCTAAAATCAGCGGCAGAATGGGGAAGATGAAGTCGTGAAAAGATAAGGAAGTCGAAAAGGATCTGTAGAGTGAGGAGCAAATCGGTGATCCAGGGGTATTTAGAGCTAACGGTACCTTGGGCCTCGAAATGGGCAACGGGCGCAAGGAACGAGGAAGGAAATGATTACTGACAATCGCTTTAAAAAAAAAAAAAAATAATAATAAATATATATATTCCCGCGTAAACGGATTAGGAAGTCATCACTGTTACATCCTAAGTTCAGCCCTTGCCCGAGCCAGCTCGGCCAAGAGCTGGGGGGCAACTGATGATACTTAGAATGATTCTCGAGCTGGAGCTCGAGAACGGAGATCAAGTAAGCTGAGCTCAGAAGGTCAAAGCTATGCAAAGCTCAGAAAACCAGAGCTAGAGCTCCCCTCAAAGCGAGATAATAAGCTGAAGTAGGGAGGAAGCAACTAGATAATACAAAGAACTCGAAAGACGGTTTGAAATAACACTCAAGGCACAAAATTCTCAACCAACCAAGATACTCTCCTAAGATTAAGGAGAATTCCTCGGATAGATGGCAAGGATCACGGATTGGATCCCATAGATTAAGGGATACCTCTATAAATACTATGTAACGCCCCCAACAGAGGGGCAAGATCCCTAGTATCACTTCGTACATTCTGTAACCCTTTTTGATATAGTAAATAGTGAAGGAAGGAGCAAGAATCTCCATTGAAAAGTGAATTAATCGAGCTCTCGAGCCGGTGAACCACTATATTTCTACTGTGTTATTCCCCCAACTCCCCAACAATTCTCAGTATTACTCCCTCGAACCTAGTAGCTCAGATCCCAATAATTCTAAGATTGTTTTTTTCATTTACTTGTCGTCACAAAATTACATCACGTTGAAATATACTATAAGTGAGTATCTAAACTTTCCTCTTTGGAATACTTAGACCTGTCTGGGGTCATCCTTGGGGAGGTTACACATTGGTTAAAAGCAATTAACAAGCTTTCTTCTCTGTTAGTATTGAACTTTGTCGATTGCGGAGTTGGTTCCATCCCTAGTCTTTCGCATGTTAATTTCACCTCCCTTGCTTCTCTTAATCTACAATCCAACTTCATTATTGACATCATCCCTCTCTGGTTGTCCAACACTACTGGCCTTTTGCATCTCCAACTCCAAAATAATTATATTTGTGGGGGTATTCCTCGTTCTCTTGGAAGACTGAATTCTCTCACACTCCTTGATCTTTCTTATAACTTCTTTAATACTTCAATAACTGATTCCCTCCGTAACTTGTGCAGTCTTGTTCATTTGGACCTTTCTTTGAATGATTTTCATGGCAATCTCCCAACCACCATGAAGAATTTCTGCAGGTTACGTGCATTAGATTTGTCTCTAAATAGGTTCACCGGAGAGATTCCAAGTTTTGAAGTAAGCCCGTTTGGTTGCCTCCATAATTTAGAGCATCTCATTCTTTCTTCCAACTCTTTTAGTGGTCCAATCCCAGTGTCACTTGGAACACTAACACATTTGACAGAGTTAGATGTTAGCAATAATCAGTTAAATGGGAGCACTCCCTCGAGCCTTGGACAACTTTCAGAGCTACAAAAGCTAGATATCTCTAACAATTATTTGGTGGGAACGGTATCTGAATTTCACTTTTCTAAACTCACCAGGTTGAATGAATTGTCCATGTCCACAAACTTCCTAGTTTTAAACGTGAGCTCCCAATGGATTCCTCCTTTCCAACTCCGAGTCATTAAACTGGCTTCCTGCAAAATGGGACCTCAATTTCCTCAATGGCTTCAAACACAGACACAAGTCGAGACTTTGAGCATTTCTAATGCAAGCATCTCAGCTACCATACCAGATTGGTTTGAGAATTTATATTCTCGTATCCTCCACTTGGATCTATCCAGCAACAAAATTAGTGGAAAACTGCCAAATTTTGTGGAATCCGGTGGTGTATTAACTAGGGAGTTAATATTGAAGTCCAACAAATTCGAGGGACCATTAGTAATGATTCCTTCAGATGTTGCTCTTTTAGATCTCTCCGATAACTCACTTTCAGGACATATTCCTCTGATTCAAGATCCTACGACTCTAACATTGGAATATCTCATTCTTTCAAAAAAACAGTTTGACTGGAGAAATTCCAATGTTTTTATGCGAGATACAGACGATGATAATTCTTGATCTCTCAAGAAATCAAATATCAGGAAGACTCCCTTGGTGCCTAGGAGATTTACAGCATTTGGAAAATCTAGACCTGACCGACAACAACTTGTATGGCGATATTCCAAGGTCTTTAGGTTCTCTAAATTGGCTAACGTCCTTGCACTTGCACAACAACAGGTTTTCTGGGAAGCTTCCATCGTCTTTGCATCAGCTGACTGAACTAAGGATCCTTGATCTAGGAAAAAACGCATTCAGTGGTGTTATCCCTCCATGGATCGGAGAAAATCTACATAATTTGGAGTTTCTTAGTCTTCAGTCAAATGAGTTCTATGGTGATATTCCTCTGCAACTCTGTTGGCTCTCTGCACTTCACCTGTTAAACTTGGCACATAACAGTATAACTGGTAATATTCCTCACTGTTTTTCCAATTTCACTGCCATGGTTTTGGATCACAATGCTGATGAATATGACCAGACAATGGTTACTAACGGAAGATATACGCGAGCATAATGTTTTAGATTCTATGAAGGGAACCGAACTTCAATTTACCACAACAACCCCATTTCTTACGTCAATAGACCTTTCCAACAATGACATGGGTGGAGAGATTCCAGAAGAGTTAATGCATCTGTGGGGGTTACGGAATTTGAATTTGGCTGGAAATCATCTAATAGGAAGGATTCCTAAGAAAATTGGCAGTTTGAAGCAATTGGAATCAGTTGATCTATCTAGAAATGAGCTTTCCGGTCCAATTCCTCCAGGTTTGTCGGATTTAAACTATCTAAACCACTTAAATCTGTTATTCAATAACTTATCAGGGCAAATACCAACGGGACATCAACTCCAGACCTTGGATGATCAATCCATATATAGAGGCATCGATGAACTTTGTGGAGCCCCACTCTTAAAGAGTTGCTCCGATGGTAAGCAATCAGTCAGTTATAAACATATTGAGGATGAAGGTGGAGAGGGGTTTGACTTTTTTTGGTTCTATGCTGGTATTGGACCTGGTTTCTCAGTTGGCTTCGTGGGGGTTTGTTGTACCTTGCATTTCAAAAGGTCTTGGAGGTATACATACTTCAGGCTCGTCGACAATGTCTACAATAGGATTCTTTTAGTAAGTGCACTGGCTGCTGCTAGGCTGCAGAGGAAATTCCACAAAGGTGAACTTGGAGGATGAATGTCATTTCTTTAAAATGTTGGTTTTGGGTGTTTTTGAAATTTTGAGAACAAAAAACTGTTTTCAGATCACAAACCAAACATGACCTTAGTCTCTCTTTCTCTCTCTCCCCTCTCTTTTTCTCTCCCTACATGGATGCATAAAACAATTGGAGCCACTCCCACTATCTTCTATTTGAAGTAGATATAAAGAAAATTTAATATCATGTGGCTATAGTGAAAAGTAAATGCAAAATCAGAGGAGAGAATTCATAGCTCGACACATAGGAAATTCATGATAACTAATCACCGTTCTAAAATGCCAAATAGTTAAATTAAGTTATACCATTGGGCAAAAAATTAGGGAAATTTGAAGGCCGATCTTCTTTTTTGGACTTATGTGGTGATCAATTCATCAAGGAAACTTGTTTAATATCAAGTCCATTTTGATCTTTATTGTCCAAAATACCTTCAATAGTTATGTTTAATTAAAACAAATTTAAAAACTAACAAGTTCTAAATTTTAGAAGTTTGACTAACATTAAAATTTTTTCTTTCTCTCATATCTATATGTTAGTTATTGTTTGTACTTGAAGGCACAAAATAATAAAAAATTGTAAAAACAATAAATATATTTATATTCATATCTAAAATTAAATCACAAACATAGAGAATAGATCTATGAATTTAAGCATCGGTTCGTAGTGGGGATGAGAGGTGGTGGGCGACAGTGGTGGTGGTAGGAGACGGTGATGGTTATGGTGGGTGACAATGACCATGGTAGCGGTGATGGTGGTGGTGGCAGGGACGGCGGTGGTGGCAACGACGGTGGTGGGGGTGACGATGGAGGGGGCGGCGATGGTGGTGATAGTGGTGGTGGCGATGGCGGGGGCGGTGGTGGGGACGGCAGCGACGACGGTGACATTAAGGGTGGTGGCGGTGGCTACGGCGATGGTGACGAGGGTCGGGGTGGTGGCGGTGGATGCGGCAACAGTGGTAATGGTGGGGGCGGGGACGGGGGTGGTGGGGGCTGTGACGGTGGCAGCGGCAGCAGCGGTGGCGATGGGGGTGGTGGTGGAAGAGGTAGTGGTGAGATGGTTTCAAACACTATTTTTTTAAAGTATTTATGAGAAATAATTTCTAAAGATACTATTAATAAGTCCCTCCAAACACACCATTAGGAGACTTATTTTTTCTATTAAATTTAGGGTGTTAATATTAGCCGTTAGATTAACTTTAAAATAAAATTTAAAACGATCTGAACTGCGAAAAACAAAAGTCATTTTGTTTATCTTTTAAGATTTGAATTATAAGCTACTTTATTATATAGATACTACTATATATATATATATAGAAATTGCATGTGCCTAAAGGCACAATGTAACATAAAAAAATTATATCAAAATTTTTCTCCCCACGTCAAATACTAATGTTTACCCATGAACCGCACGACATTTACAATCTATCTCTCAATCTATTAATCAACTTTCTAGATCCCACCCCAAAAAAAATTGTAACCTATCCAATCCAAACACCAAGGAATAGACCTAGATCAAATCCCAAAGGACTTCAGCACAATCCAAGCCATGGTGAAATAAATTCTATCGACAAATTTACCAAAAAAAAAAATCAAAAGTATGCTACACAAATCAATATATGGACTATGTATAATCCATGATTCTTTTCTATTTGCTAATGCCCCCATACACTTAAAAGGGAATAATCTTTCGTGTTCAGATTCATAATTCTAATTACTGTATATCGTCATAACCTACTCAAATAACCCAATGGAAAGAATTAGTCTCGGATAAAGCGTCAACTCATATGTCTTAGATTTAATTCTCATTAGTGAGTTCTGGATTGTAGGTATATGTGTTCACTTTGTAGAATCCAATATATCCTTCATGATTTGGCAAAAAAAAGAGAGTCTTCATGCCAATATTTCAAAAACACCATTTGTAAACTTTTTTTGTCGTGAAAACCACAAACTATAATGGTTGAGGATTTTATTTCTTGGTTGAGAATTTTATTTCTTGGCTGTGAAAAAAGCCACAATTAATTCAAATATCTACAAAGGGCGCTTAGTATCCAATATCCATAGAATTTAGGAGGGAAAAAAGGAAGAAAAAGAAAAAGAGTACAAATCAACAACAACACTCTCCAACTTGGTTTTATATAATTAATTAACAATTTTGTTCTATAGCTCTCCTTCTCTGTGCCACCTGCTTTGATGGAAAAGAATGGGTTGAAACTATGGTTATCTAATTCTCCTTCTATCTGCCGAACAAAAAAATCAGAGCAATGTGTGTAGAACAACATCAACCAATTGTTTCTATACAACTAAATCCACTAAATATCAACCAAAAAAGGAACCTAGAAGTATTAACCACTTTTCCAGAGAGAGAGAAATTGAAAGAGGGAAAGGGAAAAGAGAAGAGATAGAGGAAAAGAGAGAAAGTGTTACCTAGTTGTCGTGGTTGGCAAACTCGTTGGGGCATGAGGTTTGTCCATGACACTACATTCCTTAGGGGCATTTCTTCCAACAATTGGAAGCCATTGAAAAGATCAACATAATTCACATCCAAATAGGCCTATACCTGAAGACGCTATAAAAAAATTGTCAATAAAAAAACCTACGAAAAATACAATATTTCAAATGAGAAAAAATCTAGTACATCAACAATATCTCTGCGATGGCTAACTCCGGTACTAACAGAAGAAAAGGATTGCTGAGCAAGAAAAAAATGGGGCATACATATCACAATTCAACACTTGGACGTCACAAAGTTCTCTAATATAGTTTGACCTATGAAGTACGGATACGGATACGGGATACGAATACGATACGATACAGATACGGGGATACGACAAAACTAAAAAAAATAAGATACGGGTACGGCTAGGATACATCCATAAAATATATATTTTTTAAAATTTTATTATTATATTTAATGTAATAATTATGATTTATAAAGTAAATCACACTTTTATCAAAGATAAATAATAATAACTAACCATTAGAGTCAGTCGATCGTCAGTATGAGTGAGTGAGAGAGAGAGACGATCGTCGTCGAATATCGATTGAAGGGAGTGGGGGGCTTGACGGGCTGTGGAAGAAAAGTGTACATGTTTTAGTTTTTTAGACTTTTAATTTAATAATATATTTTTTTTTTCAAATAAGGGCCTAAATATATTGCTCTTGTGCCCCTATACTTTTTTAAAATTCGAGTAATACCCCGTCGTATGCTTATGCGTATCTTAGGCGTATCCCACGCGTATCCAAAACGTATTCGGCCGTATCCGAAAACCAATTTTTTTTTTAATCTTAGGATACTTCTCAGACGTATCTGGTACGTATCCGACGCGTATCCGTATCCAAAAGTATCCGATACGGATATTTTGACCCTTTTGAAGTATCCGTGCCTCATAGAGTTTGACTAATTGGGTTGTCATTTTCTCCAATATTGAAAATCAGAGAATGATTTCTTAAAACTATTTGGGTTGTCTAGTATAGTTCGTTTCAGAAAACATCAAAAATATACTTTCTTAAAACTCTTCTCAAAAATTATTTTCAAATACTTTTTTTTGAGATGCAAACCAAACAGACTCGTAGTTTTGTCAAATTTCCAAAACTCACAATGGTTAGCATTCGGCAATCAAAACTAAATTGCGGTGATTTGGAATTTCTAACTACAATCAAACAACACCAAAGGATATAATTTAGTAGAGATCTAATACCCGGTAGTTTGTAAAGCTTCCTTGCTATATCGAAAACTGACAATCATACCTCTCAAGCTTTTGTGCTATTCCTTCGAACACACTCGACAATCACAAATCCTTTTCTCCTATCATAAAACATTAGCTAATCAATTTCATAATCAAAACCTCAAACATCGAAACAACATTTAAAGGATGCAAAAAAGATATGCCCATTTGTTAGAAAAGAAATACTGACAGAACTATATCAGATACAGTCATAACCAGCTCAATGTGTTATAATATAGTACATAAAGGCAATGAATAACACAAAAAATAATCAGTGAATAGAAAGAAATAGGAAAATCATCGATCGACATGGGTATTAATTGCAAAAAATAATTGAGTCACTTTTTGAATCTACTGAATTCATAAAAATCCTATGGTCCAATTTTTTTGAATTCAAAATCAAAAAATCAACATCCAGTATGCGCATGGTTTTCCAAAAAAAAAATCAGCCAAAAAAACTATTTATACTTTGTGACATTTGATCGAACGACTTATAGGCATTGTGCGATGTGAGTGTTTTGGGACAAAGAAGCAGAGAGAGAGAGACAAGCAATGATAGAGAGAGAGAGAGAGAGAGAGGGAGGCAAGTGGCAGCAGAGAAATAGATGAGCTATGGAGAGAGAGATAGTATGGTCCGACTTTTCTGAATTCAAAATCAAGAAATCAACATACAGTATGCGTATGGTTTCCCAAAAAATCTAGCCAAGAAAATAATTATACTTTGTGCCATTTGATCAAACACTGTATGGGTGTCGTGCGATGTGAGTCTTTTGAGATAGAGAACCAGAGAGAGAGAGAGAAAAGCAACGAGAGAAAGATGAGAGTGGCAGCAGAGAAAGAGTGTTAAGAACACTCAGAAGAAATTTAGCACACACATGAAAAGTAGTTTTATTGATAACAAACTGCAGGCATATATAGCCTTTTACAAAGAGATAAAATTGAAATAGCAACCCACGTTTTCAACATCCTAAAACGTGGTAACAAACTAAGAGGAATTTGTCAAAACACTAACCACTATTTCCTAAAAAATAGGACTTATTAACAAACTAAAATAACTAAAAGATCGGATCTAACATTCCCTCCCTTAAACTGTATGCAGAATGCATTTAGTTTATATTAGGAACTTCACACACGCCCAGCAAACTACGAAGCTTCAAAAACACCTTCAACCTAAGCAGCTTTGTCATAATGTCAGCTACCTGGTCTTGAGTATTACAATGTCTTAAATCAACCACACCATCTCTTACCAATTCACGA